AAGAGTGGTAAGGGACAGTGGAAAACTCCAAGAAACAATGGAAGTGATTGGTGGTGATAGATGTGTGTGACTACATTAAAAATAATGTTATAGTTCTATAGAGGAATTTAAGTGATTAGAGGACATAGAAAACTAAACAAAAAAGACAAGGCCATTGTTACTTTTGGGGAAAAAATGTAGAAGACTAGAAATGTACTCAACTTTGAACAGTTTTCCTGTTTTTATAATAATATAAATAGTATTGATTTAATTAGAACCTGTGATAGAGTTTGATTGAGAGGATTGAGGCAGGGTAAATAGTGAAATTTTAAATCTTTTATAGCAAGAACAAGGTAGCTAGATAATGTCTAAAATTTAAAAATCAAGCAATGGCTTTATAAACATTTAGAAACATGGAGCTAAATATCAGAAGAACAACTAAAGGAGATGAAAATGACTGCCTCTTTTGGTGAATCACTGAAGTGGGGTGGGGGTACCTGTTTTATTTACTATAAACCTTGAAGAACTAGATGAATTTTAAAACAATACATGTATTACTTTGTTAAAAATAATTTATCATAGAAGAGAATAAATGAACATATACGTGTATATTTGTCTGTATATCTGTATATATTTGTATATGTATATATACTATCAATAAAAGTACACACTCAAGATACTTTATTAATTTGATAAAAAATTTAGCATAGAAAAAATAAATAGGCATATCTATATCTACATCTATACTATGTGTAGAAAAATGTGCGTGTTAGTAGCTATAAAAGTAGAAGAACCAAGTAAATCAGGGAAATTAGAGATAGTCTGGGTGTTATCTATCAGAAAACTGGCAATGTGGGTCTCTTTTCCATAATTACTACATGAATAAGCAAAGAGAATTTTAAATAGGGCAATGACAATTACTCAGTACTGAAAAATTTATGTCAATATTTCACTTTTGTGACTAAAATAATATATTTTCCTTTTTTCCTATCTTGTCATACATCACAGAGTATACATGATTAAAGGAGGACAATATATTTAAAATTACATGGCCACATGAGTTTCCTAATTAAATAAGCATTTTTATCTATTGATTTCTTGTATTTTATATTTAAGATAATTTTTATACAAGGCTTTTGATGAGAGATATTTAAATTTTCTATCAAGACTCTCTTACTTTATATTGCAATCACTGACACTATGGGCAAGTTCATTTACTTCACTGGTCTATCATATAAGGGAAATAAATGAGGTGCTCATCACATGCTCAGTTCAGCCCTTGGGGAACAGTGAGCACATAATAAATAACTGTTATTATTATTCTTTAGTATTATTTTTATTGTCTATATTTCTTGGTGGGACAGTACAAAATATTCCACGAAAGAGCATGACTCTCTATGGTACTGCACATTAGCTATTCGAGGGTTCACTTTTTAAATGTCTGTATAGCCCTAATGTAAAAGCAATTACACAATCAACAATCCAGTTGACACTTGTCAAAATTAGACCATGAGTAGATTTTTAAGCAAAGTTTCCACATTATGAGGTCACAGAGATAGATGTTTCCTGAAGACAATTTTTTGGTCACTTTCACAAGAGCAAAGTACCATCCACACAAAGAGCCAACCACAGTCATCACACAGCTGATGTATGAGGCAGCCAAGCTGTGGATACAATTGCTGTAGGAATATCTCAATGCCATCTGGAGTTATGTCCCTCATGAATCATGCCCTGTATGTAGCCACAGAATTGCCAACTCATGAATGCCAGAGAAAATTGGAAGAAGTAAGTAAAAAGTTAAAAAGGGAATTGGAGATGTACGGGTTTCAAAGAGCCACCGAGCACCTACAGTTCTTAAAATTCTGTTCACAACCATAACAGCTTCAGATTTTTATTTTATTTTCCTAAAGATAAATCTATTCAGTTTGACATAGTGTTCATTCAGAAATTACATGCTTCTGTACCTTTCCAGAAAAGCGATTTGCACTAATATCCTAAAGATTATTTCTAATTTGTAAAGTTCTTTTTGTTTTTTTAAATGTTGGATGTCTTGTCCAAGCTCATGTGCAAGTTGTAGATCAAATGTATGGGCCAGAGAGAGTTGTTGTTGAATCCTCATCCCAGGATATGTTTTTATTGATTTCAGAGACAGAGGAAGGGAGAAAGAGAGAGAGAGAGACATTGATGAGAGAAAGAAATATCTATTGGTTGCTTCCCATATACACCCTGAGTGGGGATCAAATCTGCAACCCAGGTATGTTCCCTGACCAGGAATTGAACTTGTGACCTTCCAATGTAGAGAATGATGCTCCAACCAACTGAGTCACACCAACCAGGGCAACTGCTTCTTAAGTCTAGTGTAATTAAGGCCAGGTTGAAAAGATCTTGTAGTGTATATATGTATGCATCAAATTCAGAGTTTTCACTAAGAAATAACAAACTAGCCTTTACATGTGAACTAAAATCTTTCTCAGAGAAAGTTTACTTTTTCTTTTGAATATTTTTCACTCTAAGCAGTTAGTGGTTTTTTTCTCTTTTGCTGGCAGTTAGCTTTGCGACTTTTATTTCTGGGCTCAGCTGCATTCTATATTTCAGAAAACTCAGTTTATATTTTCAGTCATCTAAGAAGCTACAAACACATCTGCATTTATTTCATTGTTGTTGTTATATATTAGATTTCACTGTTATAAGCTGCATTTTTTTCCTCACCATATTATATTTCTCTAAGCATGTCGTCCATAATGTGTTCTGAGTTTGCTCTCTTAGGTACCCTTCATTTTTGGAGTTTAAAGAGGCCATATCTTTTACAATGTCAGGTTACTCCTATTATTCACAAGTTCGGTTTGGTGTTATACTCTAGTATTTAATGCATTTTTTTTTCCTTGTAAGTGGTTTCAATGATAGTATATCTGTCTTCTGGAAAAGAACAAACTCAATTCTCTAATGCAGTTACCACGCCAGCTCAACATATCCTGAGGCTGGCCTGGCAAAGGGCTGTAAAAGATTGGTATTGATATTCTGTGGTATTCAAATTGTCACGCTCCCAACAAGAGAAAGAGCATTGAGAATATCTGGCCATGTGGCAACTAATTACACTATTATAAACTAAATTTACAACAGGTGACTTGTAGCCTGTGACTTGACAAGCACCCAAGCTTTCTTTGATTATTTTACCATAAATCGAGAGGCAAAGGTAGCATTCTTTATGGGCTACAACAGTGCAAATATCTTGAACATATTGCACAAGTCCTACACACTTATCATCTCACATAAAACATCTGGCTGCTTGTTTATTTTCATTATTTTCTTGCAGCTCATATTTAGTGTCTTCCTTGTGTTCTCCTGTGTTTTTTTTAAACTGGAGGACCTCATTAAAATCATTAAAGCACTAGCATACAACTAAAAGAGATGGCACACACTAACACACCACAGAAAGGTTCTCAGAGCTTCCTTCATTGGAACTCTCTGTACTTCGAAGTGTGGAACACAGACTTGGTCTCTAAATATGAAGTCAGCTTTGCATATTCTTGTTCTTTAAAACTTATCAAGCATCTAGGGAAATGTGTGCTTTACACTAGGGCATGTGTTATTGACAGCGAAGACCCAATGTGCTATGGAAATTTCCTGGTGCATATTATAAGCCGTTGTTTGCCATCTTGGCTAGATAATCCTGCCTCATTTATTGGAGGGCCATTTCAGCTGCACTGTCAACAGCAGAGGACGATCAGGTCACCTTTGCCTAGAATATTATGTAAAAGCTGTCAAATGTTCAGGATTACAGGCACATTAAACGTTCTATAGAGTTCAGGCATAGCAGTATTGACGAAGATTTAATGTCAAGTTTGCCATTATTCTGCTTTAGATTTCTTCACTCTCATGCTAAGATCTTGTAATAATGTGACCAAAATTTTATCAGAGCCAGTTCTTTGTGTAAGAGGAACAGATGTTGGCAGGTTTATCTGGCTACTCTTACAAATGTTGAAACAAGCCCATTTTAAAATAAAAAATGGCCTAATCTGTCTTATCTTTCAGTATTAAATGTGCACGCCCCTTGCTCCCCAGCCACACAACCCCAGTACATCGATGCAGACTCTTCACATTTGGAGACCAGTTTATTAAAAGCCCCAGTAAATGTAATAAGGAATCTTTCATTATGGTATCCGTTATAAAAGCACAGCACCCAAGCAAGACTATAGCAATTCTTTTTGGAGTATATTTACTTTTAAGCTGTGAGCATTTTATTATAGCATTAAGAGGCAATTGCTCCTATTTATTATACATTGTGAATGTGAGCACTAGCAGACAAACCATATTGGCAACCTTTGAAAATTTCAAAAGAACAAATTGTGTTTTTGAAAAGTTAACACGTCTCATTCATCACTAATGTTGCGTTATTGCTGTGGCAACCTTTCCATACCTCTTGGATCAGAGCTAAGCCTTTCATCACCTTTTCAAAAAGAAATCAGCTAGCAGGTAGATTCGTGTTATTGAAAAGTCATGAGGAATTCTGCTTTTCACTTTGCAAGATGTCACTGCATCTTTAAATTTCCTGGAGTCCAGCCCTACAATCCTTTCCTTGACCCTCTCACTTCCCCACCAGTACTGTTACCTACATCCAGATAGTTCTGTGTATTTAGGGCACCGAACAAGCCCTGTGTTATAGGTTTAATCCCGATGGATTTAGATCATTCATAGAAATATGAAATCCTACACACTTACATTGTTCATTTCAAGTTTTAATTTATATAACAACTTAGAGGGGAAATTATGTCTGGGATCAAGATCTCTTTCCTTGCTTACCGCTCAAGGTTTTGATTCCAAAATTTTAATTAGTTTTCTCGATCAGCAGCTCTATGTTATTAAATGAGTTATAGAGATGATACAATATACTCTGCTCAGGTGGGAACAATCCTTAAGTGCAAACAAGACTCAGTGCTCCTGGAAGATCAGAGACACATTTTAAACGCCCAGAGACATATTTCAAATGTGCAAAGAGACCAGCTGTTAAAAACGAAAGTGTTGTGTTCACTTCGGCAGCACATAGACCACAATTGGAATGATGCGGGGAAGATCAGCAAGGCCCCTGCACGAGGATGCCATGCCAACTCATGAGGCGTCCCATATTTTTTAAAAAAAAATCAACAATCATTTTTTCCAAATGCAATATTTTTAAATGCAATTAATTTGCTTTAAAAAAAAATAATTGGAACTTCATCTCAGTGGGACCTTTTCAGGCATTTGGAATGCAGTTTTCCAGATGGGAGCAGAGTCCTGAGGGGATGGTGGCTTGGCTAATGGGGAAGAGGAGAAGGAAAATGATTCTGAAGCCGGTGTCCCCTCTCAGGCATCACAGGTCAGAACGGGGGCCAGGAGGGGAGCAATTAGAGGACTGGGCCCTGGAAGCAGTGGCGGATCATAGGGTGGCCATGCAATTTATCTCACAATCCCCTGTTCTCCCTTCTCCACTCAGTCCTTGTCCTTGCGGGAACATTCCCTGACAAGCTAATTTACTGATTTTGCTATAGTAAGGCAGTAAATATAGTTGGTGTTTCACCCATCATTTAAAACTTTTAAATAGCCTTTTATTATCAGGTCAGCATATTGGTGTTGTATAAAGAGCACGAGTGAGCAAATAAAAAGATCTGTGTCTCGCTGTCCCCCCGGGTCAGAGAGTGCTAAGGCCTGAGCGCTGTGGGCCTCTGCTGCCTCCCACAGAGAACGGAGAAGTAGACCACAGACTGCAGGTCCTGTCCATCACCTACGACCTACGCTTCGAAATGCCACAGAAAAAGTATGCTCCTTAATTAGCACCAGATTATAAAACTTTTAAAGTGTTACATTAACATTCAAATCTGCTACCCTTGAAAAGACATAACAATCTCAAATCATTGTGCTACGGTTTCACCTTAATTCCTTCAAAAACTTCCCATAAACATGTGCTGACAACTAATCAATGAATGAGCCATTGCTCCATCCCAACCAACAGAAGCCTGCACCTGCACAGAACACAGGAGGCCGCTGCTCACCAACTTACTGCCTGGACTAGGAAATTTTACACACACACCCTTTTCTTACCTTCTAAAAACGAATTGGTGTGATATTGATTAATAAATATACCCCTCCTTGGAAAATGAATAATTATTTAGGGAAGAGAAGACTCTTTCATTCCCCTCCCCCTGGATCCACAAGATATGGATGAAGAAAAACATTCAATGGTAATTTTGGTTGTGAGACTTAAGAAACCCAGTATAACAATGGGGAGAGATGAGCGCTTCAGGTTCTTCTCCAAGGTACTAGAATTCTGTAAGGCAGTTACCCTTCCTCGCAGGTTTTCGGGGCTATACGTTGTTTTTTTATATCCACACAGTTGTCTTCTGTCTCTCCTGGACGGTGTCGGAAAAGATAGTAAAAGTAAGCCTGGACTCCCGTAGGCAGAGGGTTGGGATTCTTGCTGGCTTGAGAGGCACGGGGGTGCTGACAGTGTCTTTGGTAGTTGGTTTCCTGACTGCCAGTCTGCCCAGGCCCTTCCAGAGCTCAGGGGACACCTCCAGCCACCACCCCTCCTCCCGGACAGTGAGGTAACCTGCAAGGTCAGCCTTGTGAAATGTGAAGGGATTGGTTTCCCTGGCAGTGCTGACAGTTCATTGTAGCCATAAAAGGGCTAAGATCAGAAGAAATCCACATTCGAGCCCACTGAACTGCCCAGCAAGAGAGAAATCAGAGCACGGACAGCAGCAAAGAAATGCCTGCTTGATTTTAACATGAGGAGAGTCACTTTCATAGGTGGATATATATATATATATTTTTCACATACCTTAGTGAACCTTTGTATCTCGTTTTCTACTCTGGGCTTCAGTTTTTCTTCATTCGGGTTTAGTAGTTTCTCTTTCTCTGTTTAAACTATTTTCTGGAACTCCCCTATAAACACAATACAAGGTAACAGCCGGACATCTTCCATCTCCTTCCCTGACAACAGTTAAAAGAGGGAGCAAGTTTGCCCTGAGAAAGAGAAAGCAAGTCCCCTTTCAACTTCCTTCCTTCCTTCCTTCCTTCCTTCCTTCCTTCCTTCCTTCCTTCCTTCCTTCCTTCCTTCCTTCCTTCCTTCCTTCCTCTTTCTTTCTTTCTTTCTTTCTTTCTTTCTTTCTTTCTTTCTTTCTTTCTTTCTTCTTTCTTATTTTTCTTTTGTCTTAAATACTATCAGAAATTCAGAAATGAGTTTTGATATCTGCACATTATATGCAAAAAGAAGAAAGTCCCAGGAGATTTGGCCTCTGGCTCATTCATCAGTTGACCCCATGGAAATCTTAGTATCCAGAACCATCGGAAGGGCCCTTCTCTGTGTCCCTTCTTAAGTCAGGTAATACTACTTACATTAATAGTAATAATAATAATTGTTAACATATACAGTGCTATGTGCAGCTGTTTAATTACTTTGACTATTTAATCCTCACAACACAATGAGATGGGTATTACACGTATTCTCATCTCATTTTACAGGTAAGGAAACAGGCTTGGAGAGGTTACAGGATTTGCCCAAGCTCATAAGCTAGCGGAGTCAGAGTCAGGATGTGACAAAAAATAGTGTGTTCACTCTGAAGCACAATGCTCAGATTTCACCTACATGCCTACAGGTCCTTTTTTTTCCCAGTCATCTGAAAAAAATAAAAAGATGTCAAGGAGTGATTCCTTGAGCTTTTTTAAATGAAGGCTGGTAACGTTACTCATAAACTGCTAAAATTAGGGTAATTAGACATTCCTTTGTTTGAAACAGTTTTGGTTCATCCCACTATCTCCAGCTCTTCTCAGACTCAAAAGTGTCCTGGCTCCCACAGTAAAGTACATGACTACTCTAAATTGAAACAAAGATTCCATTTGGAAGAACAAAGAGTAAATTGCTACTTTGATCATTATCACCACCCCCACCCCCACCCCCCGCCCCCGGAAATGGGATCTTTACATACTTTGCCAAATTTCTAATTCTTAGTTCTGGTTTGGAGCCAGCCCAACTCCTCTCATGTGGAATGGGCGTATTCTTAAAAGAGCATTGGAGTGGAGCTGATTGTCATGTTCTCTTTGGGAAGATAGATGTCTTATTCTTGCTGGTTTTGATGTAAGGAGGCTTACTAAAGGGTTTGAAATATGTTTTGCTTGTTGTGTATTCTTTCTTAAGGAAGGGTGGGTTGTTGACTGAGGTGAAGGACTTGCCCTGATGGCAAAGTATAGAGAGCCTGCTTCAGGATGAATACAGGAATCGAAACAATGAAAGTGTAATACTTGAAATACATGAGAGGGGTGGAAAAGAAACCAAAAACTCATGTGAATGATTTGGATGTACTATGAAGAATAAGAAGTTCAAGGGGAATTTTGAAAGCAAAGAGAGTTTACTTTGAAAGGCCAGAATCAAAAACATAAACATCTTTATAAATTTATGTATTGCTTTTCCACAATTAACTAAATTGTGTCAATAGTCTCTGAATGCTTTCTTAAAGCAAAACCTATATTAAAAATTAAGCTTCAGAATTTGAGGAAAAACTGACATTAATAGTATCCTCAAAAAGTGATAAATCATATGAGCCAATGAGTTGGAGATCCTTGATAGGCGAGAATTGCAGATGTTACTAAGCTCAATGTGGAGTGATGGTATCTCTGGAATGATAAAACTAATGGACTTGTATTATTTTCTCACTTTTAGATTTCCTGTCTCTTCTAATCAAAGTAGTAGTTCATAATGTGTCACAGACTTCTGAGAGCTTAGATAAGTATAAGAAAGCTCATTGAATATTTTAAGTAAACCTCATCTCCCTCTGCAATCTTTCCTGATCAATACCTTCCACTCCTCCTACATTCCTCCCACGCCCACTCATGCAAATCAAATTGATGGCTATATTAGCATGGTTTCCCTGAATAGCAGACACTGAGGGGAGGTTAAGATGTCAATGTTTTATAGGGAAATAAAATTCCAAGGCTACAAGAGTACAGGGAAAACAGGAAGAAGTCACGGAAGGATGGCAGGCAATGCAAGGTGATGTGTTACCGTGCTGGGCAGATATTGCTGCAGGCTATTTTCAGATGGGATGTATGGACCAGCCATGACTCAGAAGAGTCCATTAGAAGGAATTTATCTATTGTATTATTCTGTCTCCCATTGGTCTGTTTGTCTCATGAGGTGTCAACTACGCTGTGATTTTGGATTACACCACTTTGCCCCTTTGGAAGTTACTGGGTATGGTAGTCCAGAATTGCTTAGAGGAGTCAAAGGCTCCAGGCATGTAGTTAGACTAACACAGACACCACAGTCTGTGAGCCCACAGGAAGTCTGTGGCCTTGATGTCAGCTGAGGTGGGCAACTGTCCAAAGTCCAGGTGACAAACAAGGTTAAAAGAATCAGAGGAAACATTTAAGGTGTGGTGGATGCAACTCATATTCCCAACCCACCAACTGTGTGTTCTCCGCAGTATCTGTGGTGTTTTCTTAGGTGTCTGCTCCTTCTTGCAGATCTATGAGCCTAAGAGAGCAAGGACCTTGACTTTTTCCCTTTGTAAGCCTTAGCACAACATTTGGCACATAAAAATAGTTAATCCTTGTAGGATAAAATAAAAACATGGGACTACATACAATCCTTCTTAAAAATCAAAAAGCCAAATCCCCAATAAGTTATCTAAACTCTCTATTTACCATATACCCAGACATCAGAAATTCAAAGCTAAAACAGTAGTCACGGGCCTCTATAAATCCTCTGATGATTTAAGCTCATCAGAAAACAAAAACAAAACACCTCACATTGGTTTTGGAAGAGTCAAAGTAGCTTTATTTACAGGTTATTAAACTAGGGATAGGAACTTGAATGAGCATCTTTGGCATATTCTGCTAAAAATGTCATCTTTTCTTCAGCTTTATTACATTAAAATTTAAGAATATGATTAACAGTTATGTTTAAACTAACTTATTGTTTGTAACAAATTTTCACACTGTTCCTTACAGGAGAGAGTTAAAAAAAAAAACAACATTAACCACAACAACAACAACAACAAAAACACCAGTACAAAAGTAGAAATGAAGGAAGTTTCCTTAAATGTTTTATTGATTAGTATCTTTTCTATAAAAGCTTGTGATGACTAGCAGATACAG